AGCTCCCCAGACTCCCTGCTTATTCCAGGATGTCTTTCTCCCCCATCCTCTGATTCATTTCCGCGGCTGGACTCGCCTAGTGGTGCTGTACAGTGTGGGAGACCGCGGGAACGCAGGCACGGCCGCGGACACATGCAAATTCCTAGTTTACGGCACCTTCACTTCCTGTTGCTACTATAACCCACCTTCAGCCTAGGCCCTTCACTCGGCATTCCTGTCCCGCATCCCGGTTTCCGGGGGGCACCCTGCAGGCTTTGAGCAGTGAGGCATATGGCCCAGCTCGCAGGGCTGTCCTCCCCCCTGCCACCTGAGAATGAGTGTTACCGGGACTTCTGTGTGGGCTCCAATGGAGACGCGGCAGGTAACACGGGCATCCCGGTTTCTAAATCAAAGTCCGACCCGGCGATGACTTAAGGCTTCGCCTTTTTCATTGGTGATCAGAATTGTAACGAAACGCCCTAGTTAGCAACTGTCTGCTTTTAAACTAGTTCTCGACTGCAAATGTACAATGATCTCAAAAACCACTTCCAGACGCTCGCTGGCTCATCAAGCATCAGATGCATCACTGGGGAGTGGTGGGAAGGACAGGCCCGGGAGTGGTGGGAACAGGGAGTGGTGGGAATGGCCTGGGGACCTGGATGAAGGCTCCCCGCCCAGTGGGCGGAGCAGCCCGGATACAAGACCCTCCTCCTAACCCAGGTTGATGGCTTCTGCAGCGGACCCCTCCCTACCAATTGCTTTATTACTATTAAAACCTTATGAACACCTAAACGGAGAGAGTGACCACAAAACACTGCTGTCTTATACGGGCAGATGAACACCTAAACGGAGAGTGACCACAAAACACTGCTGTCTTATACGGGCAGAATGTTTTGTTTGAAATAAAGTTCTAACCCCTCCCGTAAAACACACACCACATAGAGTGGGTCCAGTGTGACTTCATACAGACAGTGAGCTGCTGTCAGCTAGAAAGCACCTACGCTGTCACACAGGAAATCCGAAGGCAGTGGAGCCAGCTTTGCTGGGATCTGGAGGAATATTCGGTGGAAAGGAACATTCTACCAAAAAGACACTGGACTTTCTGATCACCCCGGTACTGGGCTCAGTGCTCCTGGGTAACAAGTCTCGGCCGCGGGGGAAGTGTCAGGTTGTCGCTCTTGGCTGCGTGGTCACCTGCCTGACAGTGCTGTCCGCACGCTCCACGAGGGGAGGGTGGCTCTCCTGCTGCCACCACATTCCCAGCATCACACGCAGTGTCGGTCACACACAACAAGCCTGACACCCGGCTGTGAGGAAGAGGAAGGGAGACTAGCCTAGCCCTAAAGCCTCAAGGTCGAGACCGGCCAGAAGTGGACAGACAGGCCGTGGGCTAGAGGCGGCTCCTGACAGACACTCAGGTGTGTGTGTTGGCGGGGGCGGCGGTGGCCAGCAAACCTGCAGTTACCTGGGCTGAGCCCTGTGTCCTGTCTTAACGCAGCTATGAGATTTGTGATGAACATCTGTATTCACAGTGGGCCCGGACAGTTCCTTTCATTCTTACTTGTCTGCAACCACGGTTTCTGCCTCACCTTCTGTGAAGAGCGGCTACAGCATTCGGGCAGGTTCAAGCCTCGGACTGATTTGTGGCAAAGCCACATACAAGCCCCAGCTTGGAGGGCAAAGCCCTCCCAGCACAATTATAGCCAAAAGGCTACGGTTGTAAGCTTGACCTTATAGTCCGACCCTGTAGTCCTAGGTAGCTAAGGGATGTGGGCTGTGGGGGGTAGGGGATGGGGGGGGGTGCAGCAAGTGCTGCCTTAAACAAAACTTGACAGAGTTCAGAGAATGGCGACAACAGGAAAGAAGCAGATTCGAAACTCGCAAGAACATTGTGAACATCCTGCCCTTGTTTTGCTCTGTGTGCTCTGACTATAAAATAAAGCTCTGGCTTACGGACTATGTCACTGTTCCCTCATCCAGGTGCAGTGATCCACCTGGCCCCAACTGTATTCTCTTGTCTGTTTTTTAACCATTCACCGCCCCTCCTCAGGTTCACCCCTGGCCGTGCTGGACGCGGTTCACCTCCCCCTCCCAGAGTTACCCCTCCCCCTTACACCTGTCATGCTCCCACACACGGGGCCAGGGAGGAGGGCGTACCTGTTCATTAAGCTGTAGGACCTGTGTCTCCAAATCTTTGTCCGATTTGGATGCCGAGCCGCTGGAGGAAGCCCTTTTGGCTGATGAGGGGCGAGAAGGTGTGGAGCCTGGTTTAGATGCTGGACTGGACTTAGCTGCACCTGAAAGTAAGCAGAACAAATGATAAACAATGGCAACAGGAAGGTGCTGTGTAGACACAGAGCCAATGGATGGTTTAGGAGGAGTTGGCTAACATGTCCAGGAGGCACTGCCAGCAATCCCTGCCCGGAACAGAAGTAGCTCAGATACCATAGGAAGGACACGTGGTAAAATGCAGTGTCGTCTTGGAACTTCCTTAGCCCTCTGAGCTCGGGTGCGAGGCGTTTTCCCCGTCAAGTAACGTGAGGTCAGTGCAGGTGTCCTTCTCCTTCCAGAGAGGTAAGAGTAACAGACACAAAGGGATTTTTAGCTTTTTTTTTCTAAGAGGGAAGGTTTTCAGATCAGCTTAAAGAAGCACCATCGTTGAGTTTCTACCAATCAAGAAAAAGACCATATGCTCGATGAACACGTTAGAAGAAATATTAACACCGTGTTTCCTGGCTTTGGTCACAGAAAGAGCGTGGGGACAGCGACACCTCCGTGCAGCGAGCATCCTGGTGCCGCGGTCCTGGTTTCTAACTGTTACTCGGGTAGAGGCTCCGTGAGAAATGGCTGACGGCCGGGCGGCAGGGAGCGCGCACGAGCTGGGACTGTGTGTGGAAAGCAAGGTGTCAGGCTGCGGGGCCAGCTGAGGGCCCCCCACTAGCCACATGTGGGGCAGTTTGCGTACAAAAACCAAAAAAGGCTGCAGTGTGCTGGAATGCACTGATTACACGAAGGTCTAATTACGGGGGAAAGGGCCGGCTACAGAGACCTTCCAGGACAGTGACTGGAGGAAACCTTAGAACCAGACAAAGCACAGTCCCCACGGATTCAGGAGAGGCTCCTCGACGGCTCGACATTAACTGAGATGTTTTGGGGAATAAGACACTCGTGTCAAGGTGTCACCCTATAAATTACTTATTTTACAGGGAAAACTCGCCTTTACAGCGAAGTGACCGGAGGGTCAGCACCCTAACCACGTGATTCCACAGCGTCGCTACTAATGCTATAAATTGAAGAAAAAAAAGGCACCGATTTCAGGTAAGACCTCACCCCCGGCCGGGGCTGGGCTCCTAAGCTCCCTCTCTGTCGGGACCTCGACACAGACACGGAGGTGACCCCGCAGCCCAGCAGCAGGTACAGGGCTATGGCGAGGCTTCTGCACTGCAGGATTCACTCAGGTCATCGCCGGGCCCACCCCCTTTGCTCTGGACTAGTTCTGATGTGGTGGCATCGGTGGCATCTCGCTGGCAGAGGTGCCCTTCCTGTGGCCCTGTCCCCAAGTCTCCAACCCCCCTCCCCCACACTGCTGCCT